ACCCTTTTCTTCCTGACTAGTAAGTACTACCCCCACCTTCTTCTGACACCCTCACTCAGCTGGGAGCCCTATCTGTTGTCAAGGCAACAGGATTGTTGCTTTCTAAGAGCCAGTGTCCACATGATCAGCACAGCCCACTCCACATGATCAGCACAGCCCACGTTGTACATTCAAGGCCTCACCAAACCTGACCACTGTGGGCTGTACATCCAGCTCATCTGCTGAGCCGGAAGCCTCTGTCTCAGCTTCTTGCTCCGAAGACCCAGTGTGCTGGGCCACCACAGCACAGCAACCCCAGCCCGCACTGCAAGAGGATACGAATCAGCCACACTCCTGCCCTCAGGAGCCCACAGTCCAGCAAGGAAAACCATGTAAATGGATCTCTAGGATACCCTGTGGTCAGTGCTAAAATTAGAGGTGCGTCCCCAGTGGGCTGAGGGCACATGTGTCGGAATGAATCACCCTGCCTGGTGGAAAGAAGAGGTTCCAAGTGTCTCCGCGTGAGCTCATTTCTCCTGGAAACAGCTTCAGTGACCGACTGGAAGGAGCGCAGAGCTAGGGATGAGGAGAAGGCCATGCCAGCTCTGCTGGGTGACCCCAAAACACACCCACCCCGGATCCCCCAAGTGAGGGAGAGGAAAGCACCATAAGTGGTTCAAGGTCATGTTCATACTGACTCAGAGACCCAGAAGAATTTCCACCGTTCATTTCCCCAAGATCCCTCCAATGGCATCAAGAAACAAATCCGGCTTCGGTGCCAGTTTGTCTTAAGCTTCTCAGATTCTTGTTAACCGGCTTTTGAGCAAAGGGTTCGGAAGCCTCAGGCTCACAATATCTAAATAGGATTTAATAAAGACATTTTGCTTTCCCTGTGTTATATTTACTATTACCATTGACTGCTATTTTTTGACGGGGAAACACAGGTTTTCCCTTGGTAGTAGTGATATAAAGTCTTCTTTTAAAAATAAGTATGTTTTAAAAATCCATCAGAAGAAACATAATTGGCATAACTTCCATGTAGGGGAATTTATCAAAATCTGTCCAAGTTTTAAATGCACCAACAAAGCCAGGAAAAGCTGTTCTTTGCCAACAGCAGTGCCAGCAGCAGTTGGGAGGGAAGGTGGCACATGGGGGCTTCTGGCTTCTGCTGTCCAGCCTGCTGGTTGACCCGGGAGCTTCCTATGTGGGGTGTTCACTCTGTAAAACATCACTTATACACACTTATGATTAGTGAAATTTTCTATGTATATTACATATTCACAAACCCTTTAACCCAGCAAATTCCACTTGTAGAAATCACCCTGTAGAGACTCAAAGATGTTCACTGCCCTGTTTGCAGTAACTAAAGACTGGAAACAACCTGAGTTCCCCAGCTGGGGACTAATCAGAGAAATGTTGGCATAGACTCCAGTGAATTCTCTGCAGCCATTAAACAGAAGAGAAAGCTCCTAACAGAACTCCCAAATCTGCATGGATTTCAACTCAAGTGAAAGATAAGAAAAGAACTGCATAAACAATGCTCGTTATGTCAAAAAAAAATTAAAAATACATTTACATTTGTGCACAAGGCATCCACTGCCTAGGATATCTCAAAAAAAGAATTATAGGGCCCTTCCTGGTGGCGCAATGGAGCACTATGAAGCTATCAGCAGCCACTGCAGCATGAGTACAATTCCCGGCCAGGGAGCTGACCCACATGGTGTGGCAGACTTCTCCTAGCCAACTTGCTGCGCCCCTCAACAGTGTATTTCAGTTCATTTGCTTGTTCCACTCTCCACTCTGTCTCTGGTGAATCTTCTCACCACCACCCCACCAACACCTCTGACCTGTACCCCAGTTCTGTATGCATAAATAAATAAATCTTTTTAAAAAAGAATTACAAGAAGCTCTAACAGAGGTCCTTCTGGACAGGGGAGAGGCATAGGAGAAAAGCTTGCACCAATGACTATTCTTCTGTGCTTTTAAATTATGTACAACGTTCTTGTATAGCTTATGTGATAATTAGTTAAAGCAAAAATGTCTTATGGAAGCTACATAGCTATGGTAAAACTTCTGGCTTCTTCCAGAGGTGAGGACTGAGATGAATGTTAGTACTTGGGCTAATAAAGCAAGTAACCTTTGGCTTTGCTTCTCCTGAGAGGTGGCACCTAAGTTCATGGGCTTTTCTGTAATGATTTCCAAGGAACAGTGATTGAGCTCCAGGACAAATGATGTATTCACATAGGTCTCCACCCTCTATACAAATTCCAGCACCTGGAGCTGAGGGTATATGTGGTTCAGTTCCTGGAATGGAGGAGGAAATTTTGAGAAGAAATACTTAGAGAGATAGGAAGCTGGAGTTCAATAAGGCAATTTCAACTGGCTAATGAGAAAGTGTTTCAAATTCTGAGTCTCTCACTGCCCCAAGAGAAGCAAAAAAGGGATCTTAGGAAGGTCTTCTCTCAGGGCTGCAGGGGACAATGGAAAAACAGGGTCTTGAGAGTTCAAAGTTTGCTTTAATTGCATGGCTTTATTTTGTATAGCACTTGGCTTGTCCACCTGTCACTGTTCCCAAATCACTAATCCTAAAAACAATCAACATGGGGTTTATTGCTGCTTTATTTACAATTGAAAAGACATGGAAACAACCCAAAAGTGAATGACTGGATTAAAAAGATGTGGTACATATACACAATGGAATATTACTCAGCAACCAAAAAAAAAATAAACACATGCCTTTTGCAGCAACATGGATGGAGCTGGAAAAGATCATGCTTAGTGAAATAAGCCAGAAAGAAAAGGAAAAATACCGGATGCTTTCATTCATAGCAGGAGTATAACAGACCAGGCGAGAAAATAATAATAATGAACAGCTATATACCAGAGACATTTTATGGGGGTGGAGTGGGGAATGGGATCAAACACAGTGGGGGAGGGAAATGCACTTGACTATGGTGATGGCACACGGGTGATTTGGTGATGAGAAACCCACGGGGATTACAACTGAGATGGAAAAATGCATTTTTACAAAATGATGTAAAAATAAACTATTATATTAAAAAAAGTAAAAACAAAACAATCAACATGGGCCAAGATATCAGTCCATTTTATGGAAGGAAAATTAAGATTAATAAAAAGTCATGTCATTTTAAGAAAATTACATAATGAAGAAAGGGTAAAAGCAGAAGCTTAAGAGGTGGGGGCTACTCCCCACCTTCCGATTCCTGGTCTTCCCTTATCTTCCAACCTTCTCCACGTCCCTCATCACCCTTAGCCTTCACTCTTTTAATTTTGAACTTTGGAGGCCAGAAAAGCAATTGGACAGGCAAAAAATACCAGAATCAGAATCCAGGATTCTATGAAGCCATCTAGCCCAGTAGTTCTCAACCCCAAAGACACACTAGAATTACCTGGGGAATGTAAGCAAGTTTAAATAAGCACCTCTACAGATAATCTATCTGTAGTTTTGTGTGTGTGTCTGTTTGTTTTCTTTTTTTTTTTAATTTTCTAGTTGAGTCTCAGAATTTTAGCTCAAATCAAATCATACCATCCGACCCCACAGACAACATTCTGTCTCCCTGGAGCTTTCACTACAGTCCAGGCTTTATCTCCCAAGTGTACTTGGTAGCTTGGCCACATCACTCAGAGCCAAAATATTACATGGGCGGGCGGTTGGGCTCAGCCTGCTTTCCTAGATGGGTAAGTCAGTTAGTGAACTTCAGCCCCCTAAGAAGGAAGAAACTTGCCTAAGCTCTCCCCATGAGCTGTAACAGAAAAGGTCAGTGTCTGGAACCCTTGGGACAAGATCAACAGGGAAGGTCACATCTGCAGAGCAGTCACACGGACAGCCAAGGCTGATGGCACATGTAGCAGAATAGGCCCAATGAGAGGCTGAAGAGGTGACAGCAGTGTTTGAGTGGGATAGATGTAGTGGACCGCCAACCCCCAACCCCCGCCCCCACCTTGGGTCCCCGAGGCAAGTCAGTTCTGAGGCATACTGAGGACAGGTGACTATTCTAGAATGGCAGGATTGGGGCAGGCCTGTGGAAAGATGTCCCAATTTCTAGATGGAAATGCAGCCTATTCTGAAATTTTCATAAAAAAATCCTATCTCTTGGGTCATCTTACCATGGGGGTCTAGCTTCCCTGCTCCTAGCAATACAACTACCGACAGAAATAATAAGTAACAGCTCTACTTCCTGAATTTTTTCCTGGTGATGGGCACTCAACTTGAACCATTTCATTCAATCTCCACAGACATCCTAAATTTTGAGTATAATTACCATCTCCGATGACAGATGAAACACTGTGGCCTAGAGAATTGTAACTTCCCTAAAATCCCTGAACTTGGAAAGTGATAGCAGCATGACTTCAAGCCTGGGTCAAGTCCAGCCAGTACCATCCCAACAAGACACAGGAGGAGCTAATATCCAGTGGCTATGAAAATTGTTACTGAGCATCCAAGAGGCGCCAAAGACCTTCCCAGTGTGGAATCCTCCCAGCCAAGACAAAGAACATTCTCTTTCCACCAAAGAGGAAGCCTAGGCTCAGTGGGGGAAGCATCTTGCTCAGGAGCATAGGTAAGAAATAGTGGGGACAGTACCGAGGATCCAGGCCTCCCAGCCCAGACCACAAAGTCTGAGCACTCTCCCAGCGGCTGAGGAGGAGGCAAACTCAGAAATACCCGGCAGGCAGGGTTGTGACGGTGGCCTACTCCACCACCCGAAGCGCGCAGTGGTCGCCTAAAACCAAACCGCTGGTCAGGTGCACACAGGTGTGCCACAGGGCGCTCCTTCCGCGTAGCCAACCAGCTCTAACGCCCCGGGTGGGGCGCCTGACATTCAGGTTGAGCTCCGGCTGCCAGAATTTCCCGGGGCCCAGAAAGTGGATCAAGGAGGTAGGCGTGCGCTCTCCGCGCCCTCCCAGAAACAACTAAGTCTGAACCCAAGCCCGTGCTGGCGAGTAGGCGGGAGTGTGTCACCACCAACCCGGTTCCCCGAGCCCTAACGGGGGTCACTCACCCAAAACACCGTGGAGTAAACGGTGAGCGAGAACTTGAGCCAGAGATAGGAGAAGCGCGCGCAGTAGCGCACCCGCTCGGAGTCACCGCGGGACATTCTGCGCTCACCGCGCGGTCCTCCAGGACGCTGGGCTGTCCCTCACTGTGAGCAGCCCCACCTGCAGCAGCCGGGCGGCCCGCCCGGCCACCAGCAGCCGCCCGAGGACTGACACCCGCCAGCGGCAATCACAGCCCGTGCCGGGAACCAGCGGCTCCAGTGGCCAATCGGCGCGAGGCAGACGGCCAGGCCCTGAGAGAGGGCGGGCCGGGGCGGGCCTTAGCCCGCGACCCGCGAGCCGAGGGCGGGGAGGGGGCCCGGGTTTTGCAAAGGAGGTTGCCTGCAGCTCTGGCGACGCCTGTGTTGATGGGCTTGGGGAGCGTGTACAGAGGGGCGCTGGGGTGCCTAACCCGGGTACGCAGAAATGCGGGCTTTCGGCTCTTGCCAAGAGGGAACACTGTGGGAAAGGGGCAAGAATTAACCTCTGAGGTGTTAAAAGTGTGCACGTGAGTGTGCAATACGTGGGTAGAATGAGGAAGTGGGGCTGCTCAGCCTGAAGGGGCACAGTTTCGCTTACAGATGCATCTAAGGGGCCTCCATTAAACTGGGGCCCCACTTACCTTTTCTTACAGATCCCTATTGAACTTTCCCCAGCCAGACTCCGGGAAGCCCCTTCTCTGCGACCTGGTGAAATCCCAACCTGAACCCCGGGCCTCTTCCTGTGAAAGCCCTCCCCCACGCCCATCCTCAGGCCAGGTCCGTGGCCCCCTCTCTTGCTCACACTCAGCCCAGGCCTGACAGCACCTTTCCTCCTCCTGGGATCTGAAGTGGCAGCGGCCCTCAGTCCCTCTGCGGCACTAAATGTCTCCATCTTGACTCTTGATTGTTTTCTTGCCTCCCAGGCAAGGGAGCTTGGCAATGGTGTTTAAGTCATTAAATGCATGACCCAGAGACCAAGAGCTCAAGCCAGTGCTGGGTGGGGTCCCTGGTGTGAGTGTCCAAGAATGACACTCCTGTCCAAGTCCTGCCTGGTCCTGGACCTGCAGTATAGGAGGCCCAGAGGGAGGCAGATGTGTGGGCTAGTGTTCCACCCTAGAGGGAAGAAGGGGAGCGGAGGGATGCAATGTCCTGCCCAGAGGGGTAAAGAGGATGCTGGTTTCCTGGCACAGAAGGAACAAGGCCTGTAGGGGTGTTTATATGGGGCAGAGTTGGAATCAGGGACTGCGGCAGGAATGGCCGAGAGCAGGAATGGCCCAGAGCTAAAAGACCACTCGCCTCAGGACTAAAGTTGTTCTCTGTGTCCTTAAGGAGACAGAGACCCCTCTTTGGGGAACTAGCACCCCTCACCTGCCTTGCAAAACTAGCTTTCCACCTGCTCTGAGGTGCTGGTCTCTATCCCAGACACATTCCAGAGTGGGCTCAGCATCTTACCCTCTGAGAGGTCTGTCTGGAACTCAGCCCCTACTCTCCTTCCCCGTTTACTTTGCTTTCTAATCGACACCTTGTTCTGGACTAGCCAGCTAACGAGGCTTTCTCTCCTCTTTCCAGGCTTCGCTAATGACACCCAAGCAGCCCCTCTCAACTCTACCTGAGCAGGATGCCCTGCTGCATAAGAGGGAGATACCCCTGCAGAGGGAGCTGGGCTCTCTGGGGCAGCTGTAGCCCTTGTTGGGTTTCTGAGTCCCTAAATTGCCCCCCCACGGGATCCCTTAATCACATTTGCAAACACTGTGACCTCAAGAAATAGCAACCTATTTTCAAGACCCACCCCCCAACCTTGAGCCAGGAACTCTAGGCTGGGGGTCAGCAGGCTTGGTGCTATGCTGGTTTTGCCATTAACATTTTGGAAAACTGTTAGACTACATGACACAGTGTGAACTATAGGTGTGAGTGTGACCCTGGCTGCAGACTAGAACCACTTGGCTTTAAGCGCCCTCATATCCTAGCCCCTGACTCAGTTAAGCCAGAATCTCCTCCAACCGGAGTCTAGGAATCAGTATTACTTCAGAGGTGCCAGCTACTTTCTAAAGCGCAGCCAGGACTGAGCATGACTGGTTTAGCGCAGTCCTGAGGGCTAAGTGGTCAGGCAGCATTTAATCCGAATGACCACACTCCAGTACTCACTATCCAGTCGGCTGCTGGTAAATGTTTAATAACTGGCTCTGTGGTGGAAGCAAGGAGGACCCTTTACAGCTTGACATCCTCTAAATACCTCTCCCCTGATGTCAAGTTACCAACCTGAGCTGGGAGTTAATAAGAGGTGCACATTGCCACACACAGGGAGCTCAGTGAGCCCCTGCAGCTCTAGATTCAATGCACTGGAAGCTTTACTGATTAGCACACAGAAGGCCATCATGAAGGCACCCCTGAAGTTCATGAATGGATGCATTAGAGCAGCTTGTTAATTAGCATATAATTAGCATTACCATATAATTAGCATTAGGATTCTAAAGGAGATGCTTCTGATGAAACTGGTAGAATTTAGGATATGTACATTAGCTGAAGCAAAGCAGGACACCACCCACTCCTCGTTAGGAGTAAAAGAATATATATATATCACTTAGAGACGCTGCAGCAGGCTAAATCCTTGAGAATCTTATGTCCCACCAGTTGCTCGTTGCCTGATGTAGCCATCACCCACTGAGTCCTGCGTGTAGACTCTTGACTTCTTCAAGGGTCCTTCATGCAAGGTCAGGGGAGTGCCTAACAGGAAAGAAGAGCAGAACTTCCCTGACTGAACAAAACAGAATGACGAACCGGTTTTGTGGCTATTTGCTAATAAATCTTTGTTTTAAGGATATTTGTGTGGGCAGAAGAATTTATTCTGAGATCTGTTTTCATGATAACCTGCCAGGAAAATTAGGGGAAAGTAAGTAAACTTCACCTTTAGACGCTACTCTTTTTATGAAAAAGAACCTAAGGTTTGGGCCTCCCTGGTGGCCTACGGTTTAGTCACATATCCACCATCACTACAGAGTTCTATCCCCGGCCAAGAAACTAACCCACATGACACAGCAGACCTCTCCTGTCTCAACTGCTTCCCCCCTCAGCAGTGTATTTCAGTCAACCCACTGTTGTGTCCCCCACTGTCTCTGGTGAATCCTCTCTCTCTCTCTCACACACACACACACACACACACACACGCACGCACGCACGCACGCACGCACCCTACCCCATGCCTCTGGACCACGCCCCAATTCACTTATTAAATTTAATTTAATACAATTAATTAATTAAATTAAAAGAACCTAAGAGTTGTGCATGACCAGCTTGGATGGCATACAGTTGTCTCTGTGCTGCTAGGAAGTGCCTGTTTCCTCAACTGTGACACCACAAGATCGGCCTGTTTCTCTTCTAGTTTGAACAGTCTTATCACCAGCACTTCTCAATCAGCAACTATATACGGAGCTTCTTCTATGAGTCAGGTCCTGTCCTAGGCTCTGAGGATGCAGCTGTAAACAAGACAGACAAGAACTTCTATTCTCTTCTGCTGTGGAGTGGGTGAGTGTGTGCACATGTAAAAGTGTCTGAAACCCAGTACATGAAAAGGGTGATTTCAGTTAATGCTATGCGTCACAGATCTGGGAGCCGCACTTCAGGGTGGAAGAAACAAGTAAAAAGGCGTGAGACAGGAAAAGTCTTGGTGAAGTCCAGACACATGCCAGAGACTTCGGGGAGAATGGAAGGGGGCAAGGTCAGAGGCACAGGAAGAAAACTCATAGTTCTGATAAACGATGGCGATTTCTTTCCAGCTTCAGTGAGGCCTTGATAGTGTCAGATAGCAGGGCAGGGACGACTTGCCTAAGAAAATTAAACAGGCAGCTAGAACTTAGGACCCCAGGAGACATTTGCCAGAGCTGATAATACCTGGGAAGAGACAAAAAAAAAAAAAAAAGAATCCAGAGGGGAGAAAGGCATCTCCACCCCAACTGACGGGCGATAGAGCCCAAGGAGCGCAAGAAGCACCCAAAGTCGGGGTGGGGGTGGGTTCTCAAAATCGGCCAGTTTCTGGACAATGAGGCAGTTCCCCTAACATAACAAGCAATTCTCTGAAAAACACCAAATGTCTTACCCCTCCCACCACCACCTGCTAGGGAAGTGGGGTCCTGGTAGACACCAAGGCAACTCCAAATGCTGTCCCCTGCCCCTCCCAAAATGCTGCCTGGCTGGTGAAACTACAGACTGCACCACAGAGTAAGGTAAAAGGGGGGTGACAGAAACTGCTGCCTGGACCTAAGTATCAACACCTCGGGAGCATCCAGTGCAGTGTACCCCAGAAGGGACAGAGCAAGCATCTCCTGCACCCTATTTGACACAGGGACACCCAGTTGCCCCTCACAGTTATTCTTCCCAGGGCTCTGCCACCTAAACCTTCTGGACATAATTTCATTTTGTCTCTAAGAAACTTCTCCCTGACTTACCTTGCCGTGGCTTTGAATTCTTTCCTGCTATAAGCAAGGACCAGGGAACCCCCAAATCCATCAACAGTGGGTTTTCAGGACATGATAGAGAATCTGATGTATGCCTTAGATGTCTGCTGCATGGCAGATGGCCAGGGGCAGCCAGATCAGGAGCCGCTTCAACAGCCCCAGAGTGAGGTGTGACTTGGACTAAGGCATCTAGTCCAAGGTGACAGTGGTGACAAGAGGCTGCACTGGGGATACCTACTAGAGAGAGAGCAAACAGGGTTCACTGGCAGGTTGGGGTGTGGAGTGTAAGAAAAGAGCGATCAAAGTTGAGCCCAATTCTAGCCTTGAGCAACTAGGTCGGTATTGCTGTGGTAGACAAAAGCCAGAAAGACCAGAAAGAGTAGCCAACCGGGGGCAAGGAGGGCAGGGTGAGGTAAAAAATCATTTACTTTGTTCAGTCTTTTCATTTTTTGAGGCATATTTTCAGAAATCCAGGTAGATTTATCCAGAGAACTCTGAGATAAGCCTTGAGTTGGATGCTATAAGTTTGAGAGTCATCAGCTCAATTTCAGCCGTGGGCCTAAATGAGATAGATTGGTTAGGAAGAAAAGTAGCAGAAGAGAAAGGGACAGAGACAGGCCCTGGGGCCCTTCAACTTTTTGAGGAACAGAGGTTGAAAAAGACACAGAAAATGCCAGCAGTGAGGCATAAGTCAAACCAGCCAGCGAGGT